GCAGAAAAATTCTAATTTAGAACCCCTGGAGCGAAACTAATTAAAATTGTTAACACCTTCGCATGGGCGATAATCTGTTCCGATCTCTGAGAAATAGTTGTGGAAACCACCTACGCGAATAATAACAAAACTATTCGGTCCATTAATTTTAAGAGATTTCCGCGATATCGGGGAGATTACCGAGGAACCGACAAAATTTCCTAGTCGCGACCAGAGTTGGGCAAAGTGTAATCTAATTACATCTGCCCGCGATACAATTACGTGTAATCACGCTGCAGTTACACGGTAATTGCCGTCTAATTGCGGTGCTATCGTAATCGTAAATCGTTTGAGCACGCGATAACTCTCTTGTTATTGCGTAATTGCACGATTACGATACAATTACAGGTCGATTAAACCTTTTGTAAACGTAACGGAGCGGAGAAAATGTCGCGTACCGATAGGACTGGCATTTTCGATCTACTTCGTCGAGATAATGGTACTACGGCGTTGTCAATTTGTTTCATGGAAAGATTATTATGCCATAAATCGTCGTGGAGCAGTACACGCGTGTCGTTAAAAGTACTCGAACGGATCAGGGAGTTAAAAGTTAAGGCGAACCACCGTTTCCAATACATTCCAGTGCATTTTTCTGCCTGGCGGACAGCTGAATTTGTCCTCGTGAACCTCGATCGTTCCCGATAGCGACGAATGGCAGAATGTGATTTCTTGTACCTCGAGTGATCGCGTTTCTTGACGTTCACGAACTGGACATTGCCCACGGGCTAACGTACCGTGTGACCTGACAATCAAACAGACTTAACCGTACTTGCTTTTTCTACGCGGCTATCCATCGGTTCTTTCTTCGCGGGTCCACCGCAAAACGAGATATCGCAAGACAGCGGAACGATTACGACGAAACGACCTCCGAACACGAACTTGGGGGAAAAAGCCTGACTCTAAGAGACATATTCCATATTTCGTACCAGCAGGTCTGAGCACGATTCGACCGTTTCGTAATAATAACGTAATTAAACTTAGCCGCCGAACAGTGCAATTAAAAAATAGGGGGAGCAGAATTCCCGGCGAGAAACGAACGTTGTAGCTCGGCTCCTCCGGTCGCGTCAATAAAATTTACGACTTTAATAACGGTGTCGATTACACGAATTCCGGGGCCCGAATTTTTACGAGAACGGTAACGATGAACAGCCGGTATCGACGCAACGAAGGAACATTTACGAAACCGACGTACAAGAGACATAAAAAATAGCATCGTTACCGAGCCACTTGCAACAGAACGCAATTCGAGGAATAGCAAAATACGATTCCTAATTCCTCGGCATTCCTGGCCGCTGGCACCGTACGGTGCCTTGGGGACCACGTACCGGGTGAACCGACAATATCTAATAACCGATAATCCTGAAAGACAGACGCAAAATGGCTGAACATCGTACGAATGATCGTGTTTGATTATAGTTCCTTCCGATGAAGAGGGGTGAAGATGACCACAGAGACTAAGAAAGGGAAGTAACCAACTTGTTGGGCTCTCTACGGTAGGGGTGGTGAACCAGCAGCTAATTGTGATCCCTTCCCCTACTTTCCTGATCCGTTCAAGCGCATACGAACTACCTACTCTGTACCTACTCCGCAGAGCTGGGACTGAGGCTTGCTGGGCATTTAATTAGCACCTTTCGTTTCCCATAAATCGAATTTTAATCCAAGGATTAGAGGACGCGTTCTTGATGCCTAAAAGTACTAGAAACGCGTAGAAGGGAGAATTAATTCTTTTTTGAACGTCCACGGTACAAAAAGACCCCTTAAGCTCGTTTGAGGCGGCGATTGGTCGCGTTCTCTATGTCCACCGACGGAGCCATGTGCTCTAGATTCGTGTCCCAAGGATGGCGATTGCAACAATCTTGGTGCCGATGCCCCCGGGGGCAACACGGATTCCCATATCTGCGAGCACACAGCACGTCAACGAGCTTAGAAAGTAAACTTCCATGCAGTGGGGCTACGCCTTCGGCTGCTCGCTGCTTAATTATTTAATTATACGAATCCCGGCGGCGGCGGCGGGAGCCCTGCTCGCGGAAGAAAGCAGAACAGCCCCCGTTGTTTGCTGCAACACGACGCCAGATCGAACGCGGCAGTTTTTTTTGTTTTATTATCTGGCAAAGATTTCCAATCGCTATTACTCTTTCAGCCACGGTCTGAAACGCTGTAGCTTTAACCCTTACGCAGGGAACCAAAAATCGCCCATTTTATAATTACGATCGAAGCTTTTAACACGCATGGGTTAAAAAAGAAATCGTACGACTTATTGCTAAAAGACAAATAACGAAAATAATTGCTGTCAAAAATTACACATTATTTCCCCCTTGTTATGTGACACGCATCCGGAATAACAAATCTTGGCGAACGTCCGGTTGAAATTAGTGTGTTCGATCCTTTTAATTGTTCGCCTGTCGTGTGTGGAACATTGCAAGTCACGGACATTGCAATTGGTTTAAAGGTCGCCTTTCGTAATTTCCACGAATTCTTAGCTTTGCTAATTCCAGATATTCTTCTGATTTTGGCTCATCCACTTCTCGTACGAATTGTACAGTATTATTCTCCAAGTGGTATTGTCGATCCTCGGAGACCAACACGGCGTTTAACGTGTTGTAATAGTTTTGACAGTGGCAGAATAATTGCACGTCTGTGACCCGTGCCAAAGTAAGCACCGGTCACCGAGAAAAGCCAAGTTTAACGTGCCTGGTGTAGAATGATCGAGCGTCGGATAGGAATGCCTGTCGATCAGCTGCGTCATCCGACGAGAAGCGTCGATTCCAAGTTTGTCACTCTCAAAGTCATTGCCCGGGGCTCTGGTACAACGAGATGAAATAATGCCAGACCAGTTCCTCCACAGCAATCGTCCCTCCATCTTCGATCGATCGACGGCTACCTTTAGTTAATAACCAGCCGTGGGGATGAGTATGAATTCGCAAGATCAACTTGACCTCGGTCTTCTTACGAGTAGTCCCATTCCGCGGATGCTCGTCGTTCCTCTCCGGGGTACGTCAGCGTTACGTTTACTTGCGTGATATGGTCGAAAAAATGGCTCCTTATTTTTCCATATTTGTTTCATTAAAATTTAATTTGCAAACCTAAAACGCCATTGAGCAGAGGAACATGACTCAACGCGGTCGATCGAAACGCGTCGGGGTACGGAGACCCGAGCGTTTGTTAATCCTGTATCATACTTTCGTAGCGGCGCGTTACGAAATAATGATAAGTCGGGCCGAGAAAGGTGAAGATCTGCACGCGATGCCGATCAAGATTAACGTAATAGCTCGCGTAAAATTCTCATTTTCTACGGAAGCACGGCCACGAAATCTGTTTAGCGTTACGGGGCGTTGAATTGCTTGGCCGATGCAGCGCCCATGCATGGACTTTCATCGCGAAAGCGTAGCGATAGATATGGAAAAGTGTATTACGTCCCGGAAGAAAATACGCGCTGTCGGTTACCGCAACCTGAGGAATCGGTGCCTCGTAAAATCATAGATTAAACAGTTCGTAACTAAATTGCGTTGCTCGACTTGGCGTTCGTTCCCGAAAGCGTACGCCGTTTCTCCATAGTAGCACATTGTGCCCAGTGATGGGAACGACACCGAATCAATACCATCGAAGCGAACTCTTAAGGGGCCTTTCTACCTTGTAGGATTAAAAAAATCGATATTTTTTTTTGCATTTTCCTTTAGTATGTAGTCTCGAAAATATGTCTACCAAATATTGAATTGAAATTTGAAAAACTAACGAAGTTATAGCCTGCTGAAATGTACCGCGCGCAGGTATAACAACTGGGCGTGAAACTTTACAGCTGTTTTTCTCGAAACTACATTTTTCGGCACTGCGTGCGTGATAACTAAAAAACTATTCAAGATATCATCAAATTTATACAGTATCTTCAGAACTGGTCTCCCTATAGCATGAACTAGGATAATTGCGATATATGCAATACTTTTTCTTTTATTAACAAAAAAGCAACCAAATATATGAAAATATTCAGTATTTTTTCGTAAAATAGCTGCCATTTTGCCATTTTTTGTTTTTTTGAAAAGATCCTAGTTCATGCTATAACCACACTCATCTATATTAAGAATATCGTTGGTTTTAGGATTTCGAATAACTTGTTCGCAAGATATCACGTACGCAGTCGGGTGCCGTTCGTAAAAACTGTTGTTTGATGATCAACAAAAACAGCGTAATCAATAGATATTATGCGTTGCAAAAATTCGTAAATATAGCTAAATATATAATAAATGTATCTACAAAATCCGGAATTAATCGCTCTTTAATAACCCGCAAAAAAAAATCACAAAGAAACACGTATTTTTCATGCCTACAAGGTAGAATGGCCCCTTAAATTCTAAACAGCCATCGGACGGTATAATAAGATAAAAATGATTGAAAATGTCTTCGAATAACATTACAATTTTTATAAACGAGACAATGTTTCATTATTTGAGACGTCGATGCTAGTTTCGATAGAAAGTCAATGGCTAGAAAATCAATTTAGATCCAATATGGAATCGATGCCGGAATCGATGTGATTCAATTTACTACGAGGTTTAATTCTTTGATTGTTACGTGCAATATCGAGATAATTGATCGATTGTTATTGTTGCTAGCAATTTCGATTGAAGTACGGTCGATAAAGCCTACACTCGGAAACGAGCCCCAGAAGATATGCAACCGACTGCCATCGTGCAACAAGCATGCACGACGGGTTGCATCCATGCAGGGTTCGCCATTTTAGCTCGCTGATAACCTCGCTATATGAATAAAGTATTTATGTTTCATATATTTATTGTAACTGTTACATGAGAATCTCCTCTTAATTTGTTACATATTGCGGGTTTCCATGAAGTACAGCACAAAATACGAATCACGAATCTAAGTAAGTTCATACTCAATGGTTATTGTGCATTTAAGATGTCGCCATATTTCGAACAACGGAATGCACTATGATAGCTAGCTATATTGCAAATAGTCGATGCATTGAAAAACAATATCACGATCGCGGTAAAAAAGAATATCGTTGTTTCCTATTTTTTATCGTATAAATTCGACAATTACGTACGTTCAAGTGTAAGAAATTAGTGGTATGCTGTCTCTAGACAGTAATGAAACTCACCAAGATGAGGTACGCGGATTCCAATATTCGTCCTATAGTGTTGTAAACGTTATATCCTCAACGTATTAGGTTATATTGTATTTGTCATTGCGATATTTATCTGATATTTTTTAGGGACTCTTGTATGCGTTTTAACTTTTATATTTTCGTTTTGCATACAGGTACCTAGAAAATATACGATTCAAACACTGTCGTATGTTATATCTTTTTGTACTGTTAATTGTTTACAGTGAAATGTGTCAATGTTTTCAAGACCTCGAAAAAAATATTGTTTAAACCGACTTGTTTCCTTTTTATTTGTTCCTTGAATTATCCTATTCCCAGTTAGCAATATTTCGACATTCGTATCTATCGTTTTTTCAAATCCAAAGGGCTAGAATAAAAACATTTTTTAGGAAACCACTAGCGAAAATGGATCCGACGATTATCAAAGAATACCTATCACCATGGATGAGCCAAAAGAATGGACTTACACAATGAGAAGACACATGCAGGTAAATCAAATATACATTTGCTGAAACAATGAACTGTTATAAGTATGTTGATATGAAATTAATTTATAAATGTCTATGTGTGTGTATATAAAAAATATTGTTTAAATTAATAATTACCTTATATTAGGAGGTGGTACCTGGATTATACCTCGGTCCATACAGTGCAGCTAGTCGGTCAAAACTACAATCTTTATTAGAACATGGCATAACTCATATAGTGTGTGTTAGACAGAATATAGAAGCAAATTTTATAAAACCTAACTTTCCAGACAAATTCAAGTACAAAATATATATATACAAGTTACTAGTACAACCTGGATAAAACGATACTTATCTAACAGATATTGCACGATTATCGTTTTCTCTAGATCCAGTTATGCATCTTCGGTGTAATCTATATTAAAATGTCCAATTGTAGGTATCTTGTTTTGAATATTGCTGATACAACAACAGAGAACATTATTCAACACTTTCAAAAAGTTAAAGCATTCATCGACGATGGTTTAAATTCTGGTGGTCAAGTCTTAGTACATGGCAATGCTGGTATATCAAGATCTGCTGCATTAGTGTTAGCATATGTTATGGAGACCTATGGATTATCACAAATGTAAATTTTTAATTTAGAGTAATATGTTATATTTTCTATAAAAACTATATACTGAAATGTTAAATATTTTTCAGACGCGCGTATGCAATGGTACAACAAAGAAGATTTTGTATAAATCCTAATGAAGGTTTCATGGCACAATTGAAAGAATACGAACCGATATATCAAGCACAAAAAACGTTAAAAAATGGGCAACAAAGTTCAATGAAACAACGAACTAAAAGAACGATTCATCAAATGGATACCGAACGGGTAGAAGATAGATGCAACGAGATGGACAGTTGATGTTATATGTGAAAATATTAAAAGTATCAAAAAGACTTATTCTAGATTAAGTTAAAATAGCGATAGACTTGACGGGAAGTAGCATGCTATACGTCATGTTTTGAAAAATACCTAAACATAGGTATATTGTGAAATCAAATTTAATTGCTAATATGATATATAAGAATTGAAAATTAATTGCAATATGTTCTTATATGTATTAGCTAAAGAAATTCATTATCTAGGTAAACAAGATATTATAGCTTTGAAAGCTCTGTCTAAATTTTAGACCACAGTATACACTTATAATAACCAATAAACTGTAAAAAAATTTTTAAACATACGTGATAAAAAAATAATAATTCTATTTTTTATTTATTCAGCTTCTAAGTTATTTATAACTTGTTACATATTTGCTAAAGAAATATAGATAATATTTTTAAGGTCTTCATTATTTATTGCCACAGTGTAATGTCCTATATTTATTTTTGCCAATACATTAACTTTTCCAAGACTAAACAAAATATTTGTACACGCAGTACATTAAAGTAACTTAAGAAACGTAATGAACAATATTTTACAATTGTAAATATTTTGTATTTATTTCGTACCATTTTCGTAAAATACACACTTCCTTAGAAATAATATCACGAACTGAATCGATACCATTCATTTAATTTTTGCTGGGATCAGCAAACAGACTATGTCTTCATTATTTTCATCTCTGAGTTCCCATTTTATAATAACCGATAACTACAACATAATAATAATAAAAATTATAAATATACCATTAAAAATCATAATAATATCGTATAGTATATAAATTAAAATACCTTAGGATAAGCTAATAGAACTGGTAATGTATTTTTATAATGATATACTTCTCCAGTCTTAGTTAAAGGACACGTGATTCCCGAATCTGGATCTTTGCAGGCATCTGCATTTGGTAATGGAAAAGGCATAGGCACCTCCATTATAATACCACGTACCATTGCATAAACATCTTTCATTTCTTTATCTGTAAAAAAAAACACCATAACTGTTCTAATTACTCTGTATATAGATTCAAAAATTATTCAACAGAAGCATACTAACCAACTGTAAAATCTATGTTGATTGATGCATTTGTATTCCTTACCAAATCACATACAGATTGGGTCATATCACAACCTGACAAACTTACAGATGTAAACTTGCCAACCTTTGAGCCTATATAAAAAAAAGAAGCTTATAAAATGTTTGACATTCAGTCACAACATTCAGGGATAATTTTAATAGTACCTGATAGTTGCTGAACCATTGATTTAACCAGATACTTGTAAACAGTCAAACAAATACTGTTTACTAAGTATTTTATCAATATGGTAAACATTTACTTTATTTTAACATTGAAAAAAAACACAGATTGGGGAAACATTTTGCATTTCTTTGACAAAAAAAAAAAACTTAAATAATCGCCGCTCGACCTCAGTTTTCGAAATAGTTGCCGTTGGCGCGTTTCGTCTACAAACGATCGTCGCTTGTTTCTCGTGATAAAATTTCGAAACGAAAATGTTGGTGCAATATTTGTTTAACATTTCGACCGAGTCGTAATTATTAAAGTGCGAAGTGAACAAACTCCTTTAAAAAAACAACTCTCGTTTGTATCTTTTACGTAAAAGGGTTTTCACACTGACGTAAGAATAAACCAGTAGCAAATTTCATGACTCGTAATATTTTTCCGGAGACAAGTATTGCCTCTATTATCATTGCAACCACATAGCATTACACCAATTACACTCCGTTCGGTCGATAATTAGGTATCATTTATTAGATTAGATACTTGCCGCGAGAATTAAAAGAAAATTGATACCAAATATGCTTTTCAGCTTAAAGAATTAACCGCAACTCGGTGAATAATGAAAACAAATTTACTGCATAATAAATAATAAACGAAACGCAAAAAACTTCAAATTCGTCTTTTTAAATCGAAATGTATGAATAATAAAAAATTATATTTCTGAAAACACAAAAATGCAAACACGATCAACCGTCGAATCGCAAAATTTGTACATATTAATTTGAGACCTGCACAAATAAATTCTGAAATTGTTTAAAACGTCGCATGATTTCATATACGTATAGCATGGTCTGATTATCAATTGCGATTGGAAGCACATGCACATTTATCAGCTGCGTATTATTTGAACGATGTGATGATGCATTCGTATCTGACATGAAATATATTGCTCAATTAAAAAATTGACATTTAATAATTCAATTATACGGACAAATTAATAATTCTTATATATACAATTTCGTTTCATTTAATTTTCGTAATACTTCGTTTTTCCAAAACATATTCATTTCTGCTTTGTTTGGTCTAATAATTGGTAATCGTAGAATTCTAAGTATTATACGAGATTCCCTTGCCTCGATTCCATTTCGATTGCAACAGTACACTCCTTAACTACGTGTTTACATCAAATACTTTTGAAACATACGATTGGGACGCTTGTATTGTAGGCACAATATGTATACATATGTTAGAGGTTAGTAGAATTGCTTACATTTGTCGAATATAGCTTTCAAAATGTAAATAGTGTATTATACGAATACAGAATAACCGTTAAGAAAAAAAAATATGACTCCAACGACAGCCTTAACAGAAACGAATTAGGTAAAAAACAAAGTGGACTGCTTAAAGGGAAACAACATGTACGACAAAATATAGATCACCATGATGTAATTATCGTGACTAATAACTAAACAGTCGATGAAGCGTAAGAAATAAGCAAAGAAGACTTAGAAACTGTAAAGGTCCATTTAAGGTCCGAGCCGAGCAAATAACTACACGGTCGAAGCATGCATTGACAATGTTTTATTGTTATTTCAGATTATTCGTTAATAATATATCCATGCAAAGCCCAATAACTGAATGCTAACTTAGCAGCTATGTCAACAAAATTTGTACGAGTCGCATGTTTGATTCGTTAGCAACGAATTTTCAACGAGCTCGGTCAATCCTAGTCCGGCATAGTTACAAAGTTATCATGCAGCAATAATCAACTGTTTGAATAATCGACGGTTCTGCTGTATATATTTATTCTTATATTATAGCCTTTTTATGTAGAACAAAGTCTAAACTTACCGCAGTCGGTGATCTCCACGGCTCGACATATCGGCGATACACACAAGCTTAGGAAGCATAAGACAAGAATGGTAGCGGTCGTTCCGTACATCTTGTTTGGTCGGTGTCCGCGCGGGTAATGAAGGTTCACGCTGCCTCGCATTGAAATAAACATCTCTAATCAGGTAGTTTCGGCATACACTACGACATCGTCGTCGTTTTCAAATTACGTGTAAGTACAGAGTGATTCTACAAAGTCGACAAACACAAACTGATACTCGCCCTCTTTCTCGATTCCCCGAAACTGTCCGAAATGAGCGCGAATGCACTTCGGATCGTCTTGAGGGAGCCGAGAAAGAAGACGAATTGTATGCCTTTCCTTTTCGCTCTCGAACCTTGCTCCTTTACCTTTCCCATTAATTTCTTAACTATTATAAATTCATAATAATGAACTTTTCCGAAAATACGCGATGCCATCTATAAAAGGGGATTCTAACTACCAGAAAGTTATCCGGGCCACAAAATACTAAAGGAGGTGTACAACGTATAAGTTTCCCGCCATTTCTACTACTCGTTCCACATATGTAGCTTGAGCATTTCCCTTGCACCGAGGGCTCCGTCTGATATCACTCTCTTGTAGTTTTTATTCTATGGTTCATGCAGTATCTGACGTGTACAAAAATCAAAGTGCACGGTCACTAGTAGGTTAGATCTCAACATTGAATAATAAACAATTTTTTATTATTAAGAAATCGTGTAATTATGCTCGATTTATTTACTATATTTAGTAAAGGTGGAATTGTGCTTTGGTGTTTCCAAAGTACTTCGCAAATATTTGCTCCTAGCGTTAATGCATTGATACGAAGTGTCATATTGCAAGTAAGTGCGCGCCTCAGTTAAAGTTTATTATTTTTTTTAATTTGTGTTCGTCCGTATGAAATGTTATTAAAGATACAATCCATGTCCAAAATAATGTAATTTGTACAAGAAACGAGAAAAAAACGTTTGTGTCCGATAACCTATTCACATGTTTAAAATTTCCATTTGCAGGAACGAACAGGGAATCACACCTTCGAGTATGATTCCTTACGTTTACAGTACAAACTTGACAATGAATTCGAGCTAGTGTTTGTTGTCGCCTACCAGAAAATACTGCAGTTATCTTACATAGATAAGTTTTTAAATGATATCCATCTGGAATTCAGAGATAGATTTAAAAATGAATTGGAGAGGTCCCAGTGGTTTTGTAATTTCAATTTTAAAAATAATTATGAGAATGTACTTGCTATGGCTGAACAATGGGCACGAACTCAGGCTAAATTACCTAAGCAAATGCGTACATTTGATGAAAGTCAAAAATCAAAAAAGACTGTTGCTAGTATGATCGAACGAAAGGATGACAAAGATAATAAAAAACAGGGTATGTATAAAGTTTTAGTTATGATAGAATTATTGAAACTTCAAGTACCTTTTCTCTGGTCTAATAAAAAAGTGTTTAGATTGTTTTGTAAATTTCTGGTTGGAAAGTGTTTGTCTAGGACACAATATAGAATCACAAGGAATTTTAATTTAGGTAGTTTGTCTATTCCAATATGGTTATCACTAACAGGAAATGGGGATTTTATTCTTGGCTTCTAGGTAAAAGGAAGAAAGGAATTAATACTAGTAAAGATGATCAATGTAAGTGATATTGAATTTCATGCACAATACATTATAAGCATGAGTCGCGTCTTTCTACCGCGTGCTAACGATATTAACAGTAATTGCATCTACAAGAGAGAATAAAATTGGATTTTTTATTTTAATTTTTGAATACTTAGCGTTTCCGTTAGTTAATTAATCGATTGGTTGATAATAAAAATTAATTGTCGCGTTTATGATTATTATTCTTTATTTCGTTCTTTAGCGAAAATTCAAGAGATCCCAAAGCAGGATCTATCGAATAATCGCAACGAAGAAATAGACGAAGAAATGTTAATTGCAAATCGTATGAAATTGGCACAAAAATTAAACAGTCAAAAAAAGAAAGTCGATAAACAGTAAGTTTATTGAGTTAGGGAGCGAAAAAAAGTGTATTTTAGATTTAATGGTAAAGTAGGTGTAATTTCGTAGGAAAAGTCCTAAGCCTGAAAAGGCGGGGAAAAAGCCTCGCGTTTGGGAATTAGGTGGGACCATCAAAGACCTCGCTACTCTAGAACGCACTAAAGATAAGCCAGAGGAAAGCGGCGATTACGTGGCAGCTGATAAAACAGTAAATTAATAAGTTTGAATCGCTCAGTCGTATATTAAAAGACGCGTGTACTATCGAAAACTATTTAACGTTTTGTTCAGTTAGTAGGCCAGATGAAAGGCAGTATACGTGACTTGGAAGTTGAAACTGAATCCGAGGATGAGTCTGACGAGGAAATCGAAACTTCCAAACCGCAAGTAAAAAAAAAAACGAATAGCATGTTTTCAATGTTCAAGAGTTTGGTTGGCAATAAGTGCTTGAAACACGAAGACATGGCTCCGGTTTTAGAAAAGCTGAAGGATCATTTAATTTCGAAAAACGTGGCTGCTGATATTTCTCAGAAATTGTGTGATTCTGTCGGCGTAAAACTCGAAGGGAAGGTACTCGGTACGTTCGACAGCGTGACGAATACTGTGAAGGCAACGTTGACGGAGGCATTGGTACAAATACTTTCACCGAAAAGACGAGTGGACATTTTACGAGACGCAATGGAAGCCAAGAAGAACAACAGACCGTACGTGATGACATTTTGCGGCGTAAACGGAGTAGGGAAATCGACCAACTTGGCGAAAATCTGTTTCTGGCTGATCGAAAACAACTTCCGTGTTCTTATCGCTGCGTGCGATACATTTAGGTGGTTTGAGCTACTTTATTGCCGTCAGTTTCTAAATGTCCATGCGCATTTAAATAAACGATTTGTTTTACTTCAGAGCCGGTGCAGTCGAGCAACTGAGGACGCATATGCGTCACTTGAATGCCCTACATCCGGCAGAGAAGCACGGAAATCAGTCTATGGTTCAATTATACGAAAAGGGTTATGGGAAAGATGCCGCCGGCATAGCTATGGAAGCGATACGATATGCAAAGGATTCAAAAATCGATGTGGTCTTAGTGGACACTGCTGGTAGAATGCAAGATAACGAACCATTGATGAGAGCATTGGCTAAGCTAATCAAAGTGAACGAGCCAGATTTAGTACTTTTCGTCGGTGAGGCTTTAGTTGGAAACGAAGCTGTCGATCAATTAGTGAAATTCAATCAGGCATTAGCCGATTATAGCCAATCTAGAAATCCTCATATCATTGATGGCATCGTCCTGACTAAATTTGATACAATCGATGATAAGGTAACCAAAATATAGTGTATTTTAGTAAGTTAGGGAATTTACGATAAATGTCTTTTATTTGCTTTATAAAGTTTCTATTTTCTCTGCGTATTCTTTGTGACGTTGTTCTAAGTTTGTTTCGAACAATGGAGTTTTAGGTTAAATTAGCGTTAGCAGTTATAGGTTAGTTTCTCGATATACGGTATAAAATTGATCGTTAATACTTTTTCAGGTAGGGGCAGCGATTTCTATGACATACATTACCGGACAACCTATTGTTTTTGTTGGTACAGGACAAACTTACACAGACTTGAAGTCGTTAAACGCGAAAGCTGTAGTACACGCTCTGATGAAATAATTGTTGATCGATTAATAAAACGATATTAAATTTATTGTATAAAAGATTACGATTTCATGGATTGTTATTGATAAACTGAAGAAAGGAATTGTTATTACTATGATCACGATAAATATAGAACAATTTCGAAATGATAATATATACGATAAGATCGCGTCGAGAGACAATGGTTTCGATATATTTCGATATATTCGAGAATAGAAAGGAGACCGACGTTGTTTTTAATTACGTTGGCGAAACGATCCGGTACACGATGCCGTACAATTTCCAGAAACGTTCGTATACTGTATTAAATCTGTTTGTGTTAAAAATTATTTATTGTATACGTTTATAGAAAGTTTTCTAAAAAATATAAATAATGTAATTGGAAACATTACGAATATACTACATGTCCGTTGTATGTACGTTTTCCTATCCACGTAAAGTTTGTTCGGTCGATAATCGATGATGGAACGTTTGATCAGTCGGTATATGTTAACTTTATGAACTTTGGTTTAAAAAAAGAATATTAATTTTTTTCTTTGATTTGTTCAGGTTCGTGTTATCGTTACGGTGGAAAAAATGCGTTAACGGTGGTGAGAGATTTGAGGGGAATTTATAATTTCAGCATTAAACGTTTGTCTAAAGATGTGCCGCAGCAGGTAACAAAAAGATTTATTTCAAACTGGACCCATCGGCAGCTGATCACTAGAGTTGTTTCCTCTTTTAATTTCAATTTCCTGCGAAGATTCTTCTTCTTCTAATTCCCAATGGGCTTCGTCGTCGAACTTGTGTTTCTCGAGAATCGAGCCGCAAATCGATGCGCGCATTATTAAACCTACGAAAGAATTTATTTATTTTCGTTATTGCTACAATCGAGATTGAGTCATCCTTGAGAAAATAAATTGACTTTCAACTCGATGAGGAAGAAAAAGTTTTGTCCGTACCTTCGTTACTTAGAAGCTGCACATTGTCGGAAGAATTTATAAAAAAATGACAACTACCTGTTATTAATCCCGAAACAATGGCAATTCCCAGAGTGATCACGAGTGCTAATAATTGATAGGACGCCTGTTGTCCTGCTGTTCTGTCCAGCCCAGGCAACGTGCAATCATTGACCCTCATCTTGGCCAGCTTCACTTCAGAGCTTGGCGCTCGAGCAGGGAAAATCTAATAAAAGATAAACGAAAATATTAGTAGCATGTACGAACGATGTGGAAACCTTAGGTACCTATCGATATTTTTTAAAGTTTCTCAGCCTAAAGACGAATCTGTTAACAATTATCCGGACAGCCAGCTGATTAATTCTTCTAACGGAGGAGGAAGTCGAATGGTGCATACGTACTTTGTAAAGGCAATCGTAAGAGGATTCCGTAGCTAGTCCAGCCATGAGCGCGCCGAAAATCCCACCCAACACACCAGGTATTCCGTGGAGGTTGTGTACACCGCACGTGTCGTGGATGCGGAGGCATTTTTGTATCAGGGGCTGAAAGAAACCGGACAAGAACACTCGACACCTGTGTAATTAGCGTAGATTTTGATCAGCAACTAGATAGGATAGGAAAAATGAATCGGTTACCGTGAGATATTTGTATCCAAGCACGCTGATGAAACCGGCGATAGCACCGACGATCGAGGCACCCACTGGCTCGCACATCATGGCTGCGTTCATTCGGAAAATGTGGTTCGATCAGCTTCGTTAGGAGCCTATTATGGGCCAGGAGCTAATTAATGGTCGGTATCTACCTGCAGCAGTGCCGATGGCTACACCACCGGCCAGCGTCGAATTCTGCACGTGCACCATGTTGAATTTGCCGTCCTTGGAGACCAACGCCGAGGTCGCGAAACCGATCACGCAGCTGGCAGAAATCGACAGCAGAGTGTTTATGATGGCTCTCTGTTGATCGTCCCCTTCGAGGGCGGCGCTGTTAAAAGATGGCCAGAACAGCCATAGAAACACCGTGCCTATCGCGAACAAACAATTTCTCTTGGCCAAAAGAAACTCTGGATCGCTTGAATTTATAGCCTCTATTATCTATATTTATATGTTTAATCAAACGATTGGGCAAACAGACCGATCATGGCGAATATGTCCGAGTTGTAGGAGGGCCCCTCGAGGCGATGTTCCTTCGGTTTATCCTTCATCCCGAGGACGAAGCTAACGGCCAGTCCAAAGTATGCCCCAAACGCGTGAACGAACATGCTGTCACCCGCGTCGACGGCCTAATATCGCAAAAGCGAGAAATTTTTGTTATTAACATCCTTGCTGGATCGATCGTTCGGCGAAAATTGAGAAATACGTTGTCACCGGTCGATAGATAGCTAAAGGATTAAACTCACCATGAGTATATGTTCCCCTACGTATTTATTCACAGTGAAGACGATCAGCTCGAGGATTCCCATGAATAGGAGTTGTATGTAGGTCGTCTTACCGAGTAGCGCGCCCATTGATATTAACGGGGTGGCCACTGCAATGTCGGCGCTCAGAAGGCTGAAAATGGCCATCGTTAAGGTATTAACGCACGAACGCGTTATTAACCTGCATCTAGCTAGAAACTGGAGATATCAGTATTCGTAACATTCGCGGGAACCGAACACACATACGTATTTCCATGTATCGTAGGCGACAATGCCAACATTGAGACGCTAATACGATTGATCGGTTACTCGTGCATCGAAGAGATTTTCGCTAACCTTTCCAGAGATAAGTAAGCCTTGTTGTCCGTTAGGTTCGTCACCCCCTCGCAAATCATGGCAACCTGAACGAGGAGCGCTCCGACCAGGAACGTTAGTCCTATGGCGCTCTGTCCGTACCGCCTCAGGAACGTCATCAGGAAACCGAATCCCATCCAGATCATCACGTGGACATCTTGATACACTAAGATGTTTTAGTGGGGCCCCGGAAGAGTGGAGAGAAAAGAACAGAAAGACCTGTTTGTAGGCACATGCATGGCTCGCGTGCAGTTAATGTGCGCGCAACTTGTTTGCTCGTTCGCTCGTCGAGTGCTGTTAATCGCGTGTTAATTGATCGCTGCAATTACGCGGTCTGGCTGGAGAGGCTAGCTGCCCGCGACGGATTCGAAGATAACCAGAGACTTACGCGGGAGACATTTCTATGTAACCAACCAATTTCGCTGTACAGGGCAGTTTCAAACGGAGAAATAGTTCTCACGAAATTTAGAATTGCTTCTCTGCATCTTCGTCCGTAAAGTGACTATTAATATTAGAACTTTCCATCTTAACGATAACATTAATTCATTTATAGTATCGTAATATTAATATTCTTACGTAGTTTTCGAGGGAAAGTAGGTCAGAATCGGGAACGAAGAGCCGTCTCGGCGGATGATCTATTTATTTACGTTGGATATTGCAATACCGCTGTCACCGGTGTAATTTATATCCAAATAACCGATGATCGAGAGGTCACGTCGAAACTCAAGAATTTAGGTCAAAACTGCATATCATAAATGGAAAAGCCTTTCTTCGATCCGTTAGTCCCACTGCCGTGCACGTACGTTTTCATCTCACCCTCTCCAACAATTTTTATTTTAAATTGTTCGCAAAAATGTAACCAAGACTCTATCTTGTTCGAGAAAAAAGAAGAAAACGAACAACCTTTCCACCGGGAAATCGGTGCTCGATTTGAAATTATTCGAGGCGCGTTCGTGTAATCTATTTATCACTCGAGGCAGTGCTGTCCCTACCGTGACTTTTATACGGGAAAAGCAGCAAATTCGACGACGAATCGAACAGTTTGATCTCGTGCAGTTTGATCATTATTAGAAGATTTTATGTTAGAATTTTGTCATCCCCGTTCTAAGAGGCGCCCAAGGAGAGGAAAGAAGGATTTTGAAAAATCCCTGTCCGCGTAAAAATATCGACAGGCCAATCGAGCCAATTACCAAGCACGGAAAACAGGCAATCTCGCAACAGCGAAGGTAATTATGGCCGGGAGCGTATAAGCAGAGCAACGCGAACGCAATACGATTTCGCGTAACACAATGCCGGCCATATTTCGCAAAGAGGTTTCTGGTGTATGGGGCCACGACGTTAATATACGTACGTACGTACATATATGTACACCTACTTTATTTGACTCCGCTGCAAAGTTAAGCCCCTTCGACCAACACGACGTCGCGTCCTCCTTTTGCATCGTTATGCATACATACGCGAGTTTCTTGGAATATGTACTACGTACGAGCCTCTCGTTATCTTCCAGGGCTAGTTTCCCTACTTTTCCCAGCCTTTCTTTCAGCCCCGCCGTGTAAGACTAGACAACCGGTTGCGTCTTTCAAGGTAAACTTGGAAAATACGCGCAGGGACTACGCAGCGAGGATAACAATTTGAAATTTCTTTGCCGACTTTGGAATCGCCTGCACCACCTGGCGTACTACCTGCCCTTATCGTCCAGTTTTTTGTTTTTTATGCTCGGTATCTTTTTGTCTTACGGTGGACTTTGGAGAACTCGTTTCCGCTGGGCCGAATATAAATACGGAATTAAGTAATTCAATTTACTCACTCGGATAAATTTTCAACGAGTCGTCGTCCCCTGGTTTCTTGACGTCCGACCAGTCCTCGTGGTTACCTGAAAGTTTAATTACCCCGTTATACCGTGCACGAAGCTCGGAAAATTATACGAATTGTGGAAATCTGTCGCGGGACACCGGCCCTTCTCCTGTCCTTTCGTTCCTAACGATTCGTTCGAGCATAAACGTGCAAGAAAGTCTTTATGTTTTCTGTATGAAAAGTGACTGAATCCGTACCGACCTGCGTGATTTTTTAGCAAGTTAGCATTCGCCTCCGGGCCGTACGTCACCAACGCTCCCATTATCACAATTAGGACGATCTGGACGAAGAACAGCATGTACACTTGCTGTTTTCCACTCGTCACTGAGAACATTTCCTATTCGTAGAAAAATAGAAGATGAAATTACATTAAGAAACAGGGTTCAGTTTTCGCAGTTAGTAACATTGAGAAAAATTGTTTGCCACGATTGCAAGAACTGTGGTAAATTGCTAAATAAAGTCCATGTTCACGTTAGGCTTACATGCAGAAATGTTTAATAATTATCAGCTAAGCTTACTATCTCCGTTTTAAAATGTTTGGTGCAGGATGCTAGCAACCATTCCGCCGGTCAGTTTGAGGTTTAAACGCGATCAAAGATCGATTGCTTTAATGAAAACTTGGTAATCCGTTAAACGTTTGTAAAGATAATATTTGTAGGGTAAATTGCGTACGGGAAGCAGATACGATAGAGGGGTAAATCAGTTTAATGAGATTGCATAACGTTAAAGTTTCCTCGTCGCGTCACTTTTCGACCGTGATATTATGCCGACAATTCGAAGCGTTTTTCAACCAAAAACGTGTACTCGACAAGTATGAAATTAATATGACACAATAACATTACTCGCCCGTGATCGTATTGGAAAACGAACAAACGATCGTTTTACCTTTGCAGCGCATATGTTCGAAATCTATGCATAGTTCTAATTAGGTGTCGAATTTAATATTGGTATAAAATTCGGCAAAAGACGAGAGTAAACTCCTGGCATGCACATTATGAACATGCAACGAGAATTCGAGCGAGGATATTAAACATTCGCAACGCGATGAGACAATACCTTTCCCATTTTGATTCGGACACCCTTACTATTTTCTCGATCGAAAGAACTCGTTTCTCCTTCGCACAACCGCGCACAGAAATAGGAACACTCACCGTGCCACGTTTAGTTTGTTTCTATTGTTTTTCGATATTGTTTCACTCACGGGATGTGTTGGTTCTTAAACAAAGGTACTTAAGTATCTTTAAGTATCTTAATAATGAATTTAATATTAATATTGACAAGGGCTGTATCGATGATCGTTGACGAAAAAAAAATACATAGATGGTAACGATAATTAATTTAATTTAAAAAATTACGTAATGCTAAAATTGTAGATAAGAAAGGAGACTGTAATTCGTGCTTCTTCTTAACGGTCCAGCAGTTTTGAAAAATTATAGAAATTCCTATCGCTATTGCATGACTAACGAACACGATGTCAATGATTGGTCGTATTGTCTGGCGATTAAGGTACGATTGCTATGGCCGTATCGATCAAGACGATTTTTCTTCGATGAGCTCCAGTCACGCGACGGCCGCTTAAATCTCTCAGATACATTAAAAATAAGACCAAGTTAACCGGTCGACGTTGTTTGCGCGACTTCATACGGAATAACAAAATGGAACCGCAAGTCGATTGTCATAGGTACGCGAAATAGCTAAACAAAGTGTGTATGTATATGTACTCCGTCGATGGTTCCTCGGAGGAAAGATTAGAACTTTTTAATAGAATCATTGGTGTAAGAAAAATTTCTTATCAGCGATTTATATGTACGTAAGTCAAGCTAGGGAAAAAGGAAATATGGAAACGGTAAATGTAATAATTTAAACGAGCTCGTGACTGGTCGCGCGAATCCCCGATATAAAGAACTCGTTCAATTTTTCCTCGCGGCCAAGAAAATATCGGTTCGAAGCAATATTGAATCGTGTAAATTGATTTTCGTTCGCTTCTTGCTCTCTTTCGTTCGTAACTCGAGCCTCGCGAAGACGAGAAGAACATCCAAAGGGAAAGCAAGCTACTGCCGTAGTAGGTTATTCGATCTACCACGGTCATATTTATTCGAAGAAAGCTTTTGAGCTCTCTGTAATTTATGAAACCATTTTACTAAATATCTAAATATCGATCGAGACTTATTCCCGCCACTGTTCTTACTTGGCTCGTTCGAAGGTAAACACCGTTTTGTTACTTGATCGATTATGGTCGATCGAAACAGTCGAGCGTTTAGGGGACCCAAAACACGTTTCACTGCACTCGACATACGTTCCAGCACTGTGAGTTTCTATGGTATCCTCGAACGCTTTTATGTAAACTCCGCGAATTAGCAACAATTGGCGGTTTTACATAATTCGCTGGCTCGCGATCCGGCGTCCTCGTCCCGCGTTCAGAAGTAGCCGCTCCTTGGCCACGAAGATCCCGCGAATCTGTCAACTTGAAACACGAAACCACGCGGTCGTCGGCAATTAGCGAGACTAATTGAAAGTAGACCGCCGAGGAATGAGGATTTATTGTGTTCAAACGCTAATGACGTCCGCGACGGGAGTCGGACTAGAAGATAATAACGCGACTGAGAGGTCAACAAGAGCCTGTAAACGATCGCGAACGGAGGCTAGAGAACAACGAGGTAGCCTCGTGACCAAAAGTACGCTTCGAGGACGGAAAAATGTTTTAATCGGTATCTATTTGATATCGTTTGCTCGAAAAGTTGCTTGTTTTTTGCTCGATTAACCAGGAAACAGCCGTTCGACCGATCATCGTCGCTATGGATCCATAAATTCGTGAATGCACGTCCTGGCGATCGCTGGGCGGAGATATTTGTTATATTTACGAGCTACTTACCGGAGCACATTTTCCGACGAGCTTACCGTGTCTTTAGAAAAGCCTCGATGCAACTGAACCATTTCGTGGTAATTTATGCCGTTGTATCGACAAACTTTCGAGTTAAATACGCCGAGCTAACCGTGCGTACGCGACAAGCTCTTCATCGTAAGAAAATCAATGATTCGTTGAATATCGCAGGTTTGAATTGCAACTAGGATCGCGATAGTGTTCTCTCGAAGACGAACGAAACGAAACTCACGGCGCGAATAGGCGTTCAATGTCGACGGATGACGCGTAATCGATTGGTTCTGGAACTCGAATCGATGAGAGTCAATTTGTGTGTCGATTCGATTATGCACCGGAGAGTTTGACGAGCGACTCAAAGGGAGGAAGAAAACGCGTGTTGCTCGAGTACAATTGTTTAGATCGAACAAGCTATTTATTTATCAAGTAATTCGTTCTTCGAGGGAAACGACGAAGGATTAATATTTTGTCGATGGTTTGTTTATTACTGTTAGATCTTACAAAAAAACATATAATACATATTACAGGTTGACAGTAAATTCATAAGTAGTTTAGTTAAATCTTAACTTATCGTAGCGCTCTTACGTCTGTGTAGCTTAAACGATAATCGTACGAAAAACTCGTGTTCTCTTAAACACGGACGAGTATACGCGTAAGGTACGAACCCTATGGAACGTCGTTCCATCGTGTTGTTCAGAAACACGGAAACACGCGAAGAGAAACGAATCATACGAGCGTAAATGCAGTCGTTGAAAGGAGTAAAAAAAAATGAAATTCCATGATTGGTGATAATAGATCGTTCGAACATGAAGAGAGGTAACAAACGCATTCTCCTTAAAACATTTGCCGGCCACTAGTGTTTGTTTGCATACTCGTTCGTAATAACTCGAGTTTAGCATTTAATCCGTAACTGCGATCAGACGGTTGAATTATGTTACGAGCTTTCTAACGACTAACATCGAACTTTCTTTATCTTTGGTATCTACGGGGTTTAATATTTTCAGTGGATTCGCGATGTGTATGCGAGCGAGTGTGCGTGTGCGTGTGAGTGTGAGTGTAAGTGAGAAAGAGATTCGTACTTAAGACTATCTTACGATATCCTATACTCGAGAATCATTGAAAACACTTTGACTGTCTGTTTAAAGACATTGCGTATAATCTTGATCGGGAAAAAACGCATTGCGCGCATGAAACGTTATGGGAAACCATCGTGATGCCCGGTTCGTGCGTCCATTAACAGTACTTTTAATTCTTCAGACTCGCGAGAGGAATAACGTTGCGTACGCGGTAATCCCGGGCTAAATAAACGCTATAATTTCAATTACTTTATCTCCCTAAATGTTTATTCTTCATACGCGTACGTGCGTCTCGATTGATAATTGTACTGGACGCTTGGACGACGAAGAACAAGGGTAAATTGGCACGGGACGCGGACCGCGACGAGATTCCCGGGTGCAGCGTGATATTCGTTGATGGGAACGTACGAAAATGCGTCTGATTTTTTATTATCGTTAAGGTGATTTTTAACGTTCGAAGAAATAAAAAACTGCGAATAGAATAGAGTAGAAAAAGTTGTGCGCGATCGTTCGGCTTCTGTCTTGGTTACGCTTGGATCTATGGATCGGGTGAATAAGTCTCTATCGAATGGCGGTTTGCTTCGCTCGGACCAACTTCACCATCAACGTACCCCCATATCGTCCCCGGCCACGTAATTCTCCACTCCGATCTTTCATATACTATATATCGCGATACTATATGTATATGATAACGTATATACTATGACAAACAATCTCAACATTATCGATAATTTCTTTGCTACTTTTGTCGTTTTTTTCGCATGTAGGGTAACCGACGCTCCGCGTTTATCGATCAGCCTGCCTGGACATTATCGAGGACAATGATTGCGTTTTGTTTTTTCCTCGCCAATACGATGCCTTTCGTTCTTTTCATTGCTCTCTTGCCGGTTCACGATAAAAGCGACGGGGTTTAATCGAATGGATAACAAAGAGAAAAGAAGACAACTAAACCTAGACAAAGAAACTTTTCGGCCTCTTCTTATGCGTACCAACCTCGATCCGTAGCACGATCCTACGAACGATCCTACGATTCGTTCGACTAACTTACTTATACGTATAGGCATATTTGGTCACGCATTGTGTGCTTCGCGGAAGTCGTTTTCGTGTTCGAACGTTTGCCTAATTTGCGATCGAATGGTCTTTACGATGGATCAGAACGCGGTAGACGTTGTAATATAACATATACACGTACACACGTATATAGAAGTTGTTATGAGATGGTAGATCATGATTTACAACGACGCGAAAACATGTTACTTGTTGATACAGCGACTTCTTAATTAAACTTTTATTTACACGAACGTTCGAAATAAATTATTCTTTGGTTGTTAATTGCTCTCTTGTCGCTCCTTTTCTGCCTGTCGTTTATTTTAATGCTACGGAAATGACATTAATCGTTATCTGCTCTTACCGTAATAAGATCTTATTATTTAATAGATACCTTACTATTTTTATAAAATATAAAAATTGTTCGTCGTTTCGTATTTAATTAAACATTGTTTCTTTGTTGAGCAATAATAAGGTAGTTTCGTAAATCAACGAACGTTATTATTCGCCAAGACATCAAAGAAGTACATATATACATAGATATATGTAATTTGTAAGTAACGAGAAACACGCGATAAGAAACTTTGCGTTATAGAATCGATCTATCTTTGGACGTCGCTTCGTAGTCTTAAATTTTTAATTCTACTACGTCGGAGATGTTACGTATATTATTTTCTAATTTCTTTTTTGCTATGTTCTTTTCGATACGTCTTCGTTATACCGCGAAAGAGCCGATTAATCGAAGTTGGTTTGTCGAGCACTGCCGCTAAAAGCTGATTAAACTGCGTCGACTGGCTCTTGTAACGTAAAGCCGATTGATTGGCAGGCAAAGTATATCACGTCTATTGCCATGTTATTAAAATCAAACCTGCCCGAAGGGTGCGAAAATCGAAGTAAATTTACAACGTACTTCAACGGTTGCTGTTTGCACATTTATAAACGCAGGAAAGTTTGATCACCGACGAATTAGTTTTACCGACTGAAAATTAAAAGGTTCTGGAAATAATAGGAAAACGATCGGCTCGTGTCTGAACGACTAATAGCTTCCACAAAGCTCACGAACTCCATACATACACAGTACAGATTTATTAAACCTTCTATCCCGGCGAGTTGGACGATCGCGGGGGATCTAAATCGTTAAAAATAATAAGTTAAGACGAAAATGGATAAGGGTACCGAGGGTGAAGGAAAGAAACGATGCTCGAGTCGCGACATTGGCAACCGATTCCCGTGTCACGCTGTTCCACTTTATCTTTTCATTTTCTTTTCTCTGCTCGGTCACCGCTCGGTGACTCTTCCCGACGTTCGTTCTCGATTGTCTGACGTTCAACTAGAGGCGTAATTAAGACGCGCTCGCTCGCTGAAGGAGGCTCGACGGAGACGAAGAGACGATAGACACACCGTGGGACGAAGAACGTAGTTGGAGCAGGGACATCCCCGGCCTTTGAATTCGAGATCATGCTAATTTATTCATTAGATACGGCACGCGTCGTTCTCCCGCACAAAACTGTAGAAGCAAAGTGTCGAGTTCGTGGGAAGAGCGTCGGAAGACGATTCACCAGGAATTCGAGTCACCGTGGACGTTGGGCGAGGCGAAGGATGCGCGAGGAAGATCCTTCGAGCGAAATTTCTTATCAACGACCGACACGCGGCGAGAGATACTTGCATACGTATACGATCGACGATCTATAAAAATTATTACAGCGCTGGAATGCTGAGAAAAGAAATTGTTTTACCGGTCGAACGTATGCGTATGGGAAAAGTAACTGATCGGGGAGAAAAGTATCTGTAAAAGTTGTCGATAGAAAGTGATCGATAAAAAGGTGTACCATTACCGCGAATGCTGTAAGTATCCTATAAATGTACAGCGATAACGATCCAACATGGAAATGGAAGCGAACGTTCGTTCGGAGTGGTCGTGGCGACTCTACTCACGATAAAACGCGTTCGATACTCTCGAAACAGTTACAGGTGCATCGGTCGTGATCCTTAATGTACCCGGTGAGCATGCGCGCGTTGTCGGAGATCGTCACACCGCACCGCACAGCACCACACACCACCGTCGTATCGCACCTCACCGCACCAGTTCCGATCTCCTCCGATTTCGCCCAAGGACGGACTGACACACTCGCGAGTCTCCTCGCAGCGACCAAATACCCATCGTCGCCTCTGCGAACCTTTGAACGAAACTTACCTTGCTTCCATTTTCGAACGCAACCGGGATGCACTCTGCAAGACCAACCGGTGTTCTCTGTGGCCTGACCAGACATTTCTATCGACTATATGACGCAAGATACTCCGATCGAACAGTGAAAACGGCAGAGTGAGAAACAACGATGGGTCTCGGTGAGCCGTTCTCGAGATTCGAGGCTGCTCGAAGTGTGTCGAGTCTCTGGCCCATACGCAACGATACACGTATGTACGTTGATTATACAAGCGTCTCGGAATACCGAGAACCACCGTCCTCGCCTTCGCGTTCGTGTTCGTCTTCATCCTCGTCCTCGTCTTCGTTCTCGTCTTTGTCCTCGTCCTCGTCCGTGGGCCATCCTTTCGATCTGTTTAGTGGGTCGTACGACGAACGGAGCCGCTTCTACGTGAAGAGCAACGACAGCAAAAGGATGAAGGGGTAGACGAGAACGGGCAGCTCGAGGTGGATGGTCTTCGCCGAAGATGAAAACCAGATGGAACCCGAGGATCCCACAGGAGCGTTCTCGTGCCGACTCGACGGCTGCTCGGAGGCCATTAGATCCTCTCTCGAGGGCTCCGGGCACGGTAGCTCCTCCATCTTCAGCTCGAATAGATTCTTCATCTGCATCGATTTGCCTTCTATCAGCTGCACCTGTAATAAACAGAGCGTGCGAGTGTCACATACGAAAATCGATCCCGCAATTGTCCAGGCAACGAAAACGCTTTGAGTTACGATATAACCGATGCTTTGTTTCGATGATAATTGAAAAAACGCAAGCTAGAGGTGCGGGAATCGTGTTAATTGTAAATGGAAATCCACCCAGCGGGCATGTTAAACAAATTAATCCGAAAAGGCTGTTAAAATTCGCGGCGTTCGAACTTCATTGCGTCATAAATCTTCGTTAAAAACCGTTTTACATTTTTCGATACGAGCGAACCTGTTTTTTCCTTAAATTGCTGTTCCCGTTCGCTGATACCCTTCGTTTTTATTTCGCGGTTCGAAAAATCCTCTTGATACCCGTTTAAATAAAACCTATTCGATGCTACGATCGTAATATTTATGTGTGAAACTGATCTCGGCTGTGGTATCGAGGAAAATATATGTAGAGGGTTACGGTATCGCTTACCTTGGACTGAAAATCGAAATTCGAATCCTCGTAGCCATCTTCGGTCTCGTATTCGTCACCCAAGTAAGCGTTGTCGTCCTCGATGTTCGCGGTTCTCAAGCTTTCAGGCACGTATTCCTCTGTAACAGTGAGAGAAATCGAAAAATTCTAACAAAAGTACCTACTAGTAAATCGAACGTTAAAGCTTGGATTAAGTAAGAAATTTGAAGTTTAGCGAACAAGGAACGCGAAAGGGATACGACAACCGATGAGAGTGTAAGCAGAGAGACCCACTTGGATTTCGTGCAATCTTGAAATCCTCGTTCCATTCGAGGTCCGCGTTGTTGATCTTCTGCGATGCGTTATTGCTTTCCAAGAAGCAAGTGAGCTTCTCCAAGGCATTCCGTAGCTTCCTGTTCTTTGTCTCGTTTCTCAGGCCCCAGATCCACGCCAGTTTGCAGTCACAAATCAGTTTGTTGCCTAAAACGAACAGAGTCAACGTTTTATTAGACACGTATCTTTCTATTAGTTATTTTTTTCATTTCCTCTCGTTTTAGAAAGCAGAAACGCAAAGTGGTCGTTGTCGAACAATTTGTAACGCAATCTGTTTAGGAAAGAATTGCTTCCAACGAGCGTTCGCGACTGCATAATTGAAAAAACGAAGTGAAGTTTTTGGAACGACGAAGAGGGTTTCGTTCGTGCGTGTCACGGCCGTGTTAATTAATTGTTAAATAATATATTCCGAGCGTCGTAGCGAAGGTTACCGCGTAGCCTTCTTCGGAATTTCCTCCCTGGTGACCTTGGAAAATTCATGCGATTGCTGTGTGCCGTCGCAGGCGGTACATATTCAACCGAACGCGACCGACCCCTCGCAAAACCCTCCGTGAGATTGGCTTTTCGAGTTCCTGCCGGTACTTTTACGGTTTCGTCGCCTCTGGTATCCGTGAAGCTAACCGCTTCGACGAAATTCGACTTTTCGCGTGGAATTTTAGGACGAAATTCAGGTTGGGAAAGCTTTAATGCCGATAGGCGGCTTCTTCGGTCGCTTTTAATCTTCGACCGATCGATAAAGCTACTTTACCAAAAATACGCTCATTTCATAATGGAACCATCGATATTGTACGTGAATGGAAAGTAATCGTTTTACCGTTTGAAAAGGTAGTACGTTTAAACAAAAGTACGTAGTAATTTTTAACGCTGTCCTTTTCGGAGCAGCAAAGCCGTGTAGCGTGGGAATTGAGCAGATCTATCTATGGCTGGAACTGGAAACAATGAGGCCATGATAAATGAAGATTGAAGGGACAGAGGGACAGTTGTGTGTCTTGGCTCGTCTTTAGCTACCGGCTCTACAGCTATTATGAGCCATCATCAGCTTCAAAGCACGAATATGGGGCATAGTTACTATATACATAGCGCTTTCATTGTTTCGAGTGCCGCTTTAAAATAATTGCTAAGCGCTATTGTCTACGCAACAATCACTACGGCGGTATCCATTACATTCGTAGCGACGCGGTGTTACCTTCCGCTAATCCCTCTTCTCTGAATCGAAAATTAAACAATCGACTTTGGTCCTTTCGCGGGAGAAATACTCTTATCACTTTCGCGTCAACGGAGCCCACGGCGAGCAGCACACTGGACGTTCGAAAATTCCTCGGATGATTTCGGAGGAGCAAGAGCTCCAACTATTTTCAATCGAGCTAGCCATATCGAAGCGAAATCCTGATGCGAGGGACCAAGGATCAAAGAAAAGATGCGGTTCAGGATCAGCCTTTCCTCCTTTGAACTGTCGCAAATGTTTTCTCCGAATCGAACCTATTTCCGTCCAAGATGAAAGGCCCGTAGAGAGAAAATCGATGGCTTTCCCCAAGAAATTACTCGCTAAATCTATCGAATAGTTGGCAGGAATAATTTGTAACTCGTTGAAAGTTTATCTGCCGCGAGCGATGGTATTTAAGACGATCTTAAAAGAAAAAGGGAAAGCTATGTTGGATATTTTGAAAAAATTACTTCTCGATTTCATTGGGTGTACGATCACTATCCGCGGCCAATACGATCCGTCGAATCTTCGTTTCACGATTTTGTACATACATACGTACATACTGTATACGTATGTGTACGACATTCGACATTCGACACGGTTTCTCAGCGCATCCACCGCCGCAAACCGCTTTCAATCAGTGATATCGTCGGGGCGGGCGGTTTGGGGGTTTGGAAAATTTCCTGGCGCGAAGGATGCCGGAACAAAAGAGAAGAGAAGGATAAACGGCTAGCGGTGTTTCCCTTTTTCGAGCGTGCCGCGAATGCTTCCCGTCGCGTCGCGTCGGTTCCATCGGGCTTTCCATTCGTCTGGCAGGATAGAGGGCACATCGGGAACCGATCATCGATTCTATCGAAATGAAAGAAAATTAATGGTTCACTTTTCCTCCAAAGAAACGACGCGTGAGCGAAGAAAAACTCGAGGAAACAGCGAACAGCGAATTCTATTCGTATTCTAATCTGTTTCATACAAAACAACCGTCTAGTCTTGTTTGTTACATATATTTAGGACATTTTTATCGACATTTGTTCGTGCTAGTATGGACCAGTTTGTTTGAAGCTGCTGTACCTAGACAGTTGAGTAGTCGGGATCTGCAACAATGATTGAACGCAACGCCAACGATGCCGACGATTTCAGATTCGTGGTAGAACTGTCGCGTTTCACGTTTCGTTTCTCGATCGAGATGAAAGCACGACGAGCAGGCAGGATCGGAAAAGCGGCGCTCGCAGATGATTTAGTGGAAACGCGAAAGCCTCGAAGCGGAACGATCACGTTCCAAGTCACGATATCACAGGGTGGGTGACGAGAATTAAGTTTGTCCGCCAGCAATGACACCTTTAGAGCGTCATATTTGCGGAACTTTGTACGTCATGAATCATAGATAGGCTTTCTGCCTTGCCAAGACGTATTTCTTTCGTACATATCGCGTTTAATACCTTGAATTTTGTTTCAGAAATAATCTAATATTATCGTACATCAGTCGTATAATCAATAGGAATTGTTGAAACCTTTTTAGGTATGTAGCGTCAAAGTAAATGTGAAATTAAACATAGAAGGGAGGATAAATTGGAATAGTTGATATGGCCATCGGATAGGGGATGAAATGCCCTTTAAAATGAGCGTTCGAACGAGTCGATAGCTTTATTAGTTCCGGAGATATAGCGATTTTAGTTTCAAGTCGATGCGGTGGCTAGTTTCGGAGATAGAAGAGTCCGAAGCGTTTGTTTACTACAGCCTTGTCAAGGCCGTTGACCGCACGTGCGCGTAGTAAGTAGTAAACATTACGTCACTCATTCACGCGGTCAGTGGGTCAACGTGCGACAAGGAGGTCCGACGCGACGCGTTAGACGAAGACAGCGATAGTCGAATTAAGAAAAATTACCTTTTACATAAATTACGATATCTCGAAAACGGAAAGTACGATCGTCAAAAACCAAAAACCATTTCAAAGAGGAAGGCTTACCGCTTCCAATCATACCTCGATTTTGCAAAAAACATGAGTGGCTTCGGAACTGCGAGCGTTTAAAATTTATCTATTTTTAATACGTGTCGATACACTATTTGAATTTTTTTCTCGAAAACCCGTAAGATTTCGAGGGTACGTGTATTGACCAAAAATGATTGTAATTGACCCCCGCAACTGAAAATAATTTTTTTAGAACGATTTGAACAAATTTTTTTTCGCCGACAATTTCATCACATATTCAAATTTTTTTTCTCGAAACTGGGTAGGAATTCGAGGATATATCCGGTTAGATTATTCTAAGACATTGTAGATTCTCTCCTTTTATCTTTGCTATAAATTTTCTATTGATCTCTGGTCAAGATTCATTTCATTAATCCAATTGTCCTTTCGTTGAACCAATACCGACGAGCCACCGCTAATTCCTGAATTAATCTGCACAGCCGCAAGCTGCGTAGTTTACTCGGCGCCGCAACTTTCCATTCGTTATCGTGGCTCGTTTTGTTTTCCGGTGAATAGCACGAGGGTACGGCATTTGTCTCGCGAACACGAAACCGATAATGGAGAAACGGGAAGATGCAGCAACGAACGAACGAAAAAAACTAGCGGAAAGGAAAGGGAGAACCGGTGATATTTGACGTAGAATTCGATCGAGATCGACTCTTTCGCTTATTGTTAGTTTTTTTCTTTTTTTATCCCGCTCGTAACATCGTTACATTGGGATCGAGACTAAATTTTTAGCATATTAATTTCATTTATCGCGTCGATGGAATCTGATTATCTGCGTGGTTTGCACAGTGCCCGAACGAACCATAATGTTATCACGAATTGAATAATCTGAAATACGCTTCGACCTAGCAGGCGCATACAAGGTAGAACTGCAGAAATATAATATAATAAAATTTCAATGTGTTATTTCGAAACACGTGTACGAACTCCCCAGTTTTTCCACGCGTTCGTTAACCGTACGAATTAAAACTGGGCTCACCCAATGTTCCATGAAAATCCAACATGCGCGACGTATGCATGTTTCATGAACTAAACGAAATAAACTCGATTTCCTAATGGAAGGCTTTGGTAGAAAATATTTAATACCTTTTATCACGGATTCCTGCTGAATTAAAATAACTTTATATTTTTGTTCGTTTTTGCATTTTCTCTCGAAAAGGGAATATGCACCTCCAAACTGCCAAGATTTGACTGAAAATTTCTGAAATAAGATACGTCTGTCCCTTTGAGTAAGGGGAAACACGACGCTGCGACGCACCAGACGGTTTGTTTGGCCGGAACTTGGTCAGTAAATAGCGAACCGAGCAAACGAGCATACAAGAGTCTACATACAACGTTACTCTTTTCATCCCGTAAATTTATTAAAATATTATTGCTACTCGTAGTAATATTGAATAGATATGGATTCTCGCGATAGCCTCTTATTACGAATTTCGGTTGGGGGTCTCTTAATTAACCGGATGTTCGCAACGGAATGATCTTTCGCTGGTTTTCGACCGACAAGATATATTGGGCAACGCGTGCTGCTGCGAATTTCCGCCGAATTAATAATTGCCTTTTGATGAATTGCACAGATTACGCGTCCTGTTACGCGGTAAGAGTCCGGGCCTCTCCGCGCCGGCAGGACGGATTAATCGTTCAGGGTAACGAGGATTTAACGTTGGCCAAACTTCTGGAACTTGGAACGGGCTTCCCTGGCCACCGCGGCAGGTTGCTGTAGCCGCCGCCGTTTAGAAGCTCTTTTGCTTTTACGATTGTTTAATTAATCGAAAATATGTAGACGATCGAAATTGGGGAGTTGCGGTAGAGGACTGGTTCCCGAACGGATTTATGGACGGAGAGACGAAACGCGGAACTATTTCAACGACGCGAACTTGCTCGATCCTCGCGTAATTTGTCGACAAATTGCATACCTTCTTGGTACCTCCGCGACAAGCGTATTTGGCGAATACTCGGACGAAGCGGCGACTT